GGAGACGCCGACAAAAAGCGCCGTGTGTGGTCTGGCGACCTTCCCTTCTCCCCTGCAAAAAAAAAAAAAAAAAGAAAAAAAAATGCGGCCGCCAAGCGTTTTGACTATACGCCAGTGTTGTAGGCATTACCAAAAAAAGGAAAAACATTTGTTATACTTGTAACTTGCAAAAGAAAGGAACGCGTTACCAACCTACGTTGCCCCAAAATAAAAAAAAAAAAAGAAAAGTAAAATACATTTTTCTTTTTCTTCTTTTACACGGAGTCAATGGTTTTGGGAAAATGGCACCATAATGATCATTCAAATCTCAGACCGTTGTCAAACGGGGGCCTTGCCGCTTGTCTCGTCGAGGTTGATCCAGGGCAACAGGTCATTTCATATTCGGGTCACGACAAAATCCACTCTTCCGGTTTCCAGTTTGAGCCGTGCGATTTGTGATTTGAAGAAAGGAGAAGGTGTGTTTTTGTAACAGTGAAAGCTATGGACTATAGAGATTGTACTGAATAGAGAAAAGGGACAGTTGAAACTCTCTATTACATCCTTAATCACTCCACCTCGCGCGGCCACGGGCTAGATTGATGGAAAAGGATGGGGTGACTACGAGCTTCGTAGCGACTGCCCCCGGGAGTTTATTGATTTTAAGGTATCGACGTTTATCGAGGCAACACTTGTGTGCGACGTTTGTCATGGGACAAATTAATATTGCCAATGGCACGAACGTCAAATTCAACTGAAGAAATTTTAATCGGTACAAGCGCGTTTTATTTTTTGTCTGGCATACGTTTACATCCAATTATTATTTACATATTTATTTTCAGTAGGAAACACACCGAAATTAAACTCCGAATTTTGGAGAATCGGGAATCAAACAAATATAAACTCCGATAAACTCCGAATCTTCGGCAGAAAATAAAATCCGCAAAACGCCCTCCGAATCGGACGAAAAATAAGCTCCGAAAACACGGGGCTCCAGTTATGATTGGTTCGGCGATGAGAGAGCACGTACAGGAACAGGAGGCGCACCAAGGTGGTGCCCTTTTGACGCTGTCTGATTGGTCCCCTTAGGTCGTAGCGTCGGCTGCGTGAGGACGGGAGGTAAAACGAAGTATAGAAAGACGAAATAATGTAAGCGTGCTTTTCTTGAGGTCTTGGGTAAGAGATGTAACGAGCAACACAGTTACGTTTCCCTTTACTTCAAACAAGTAACTCAAGTCCGTTACCCGTTACTGTTTTGAATACGTAACAAATGCGTTACTATGCTTAAAAAAAAAACTACTTGTAACTTATTACCGCCAACACTAGGTTGCGCCCCCTGGAAAGCGCGTAAACACGTTGAGTCCTACGTGGGTCGGCCTTACAGGCGCCACGCAACAATATTGGGTAGAAATGTTTCTCGGTAACCGGACAAAAGCTCACCGGACAAAAGCTCACCCGTTTTTTGACAGACCCGGACAAAAGCTCACCCGTTTTTTGACAGACCCGGGCAAAAGCTCACCTCGATTTTTTTTTTTTTTTTTTTTTTCATACCCGGTCGAAACACGGGCTGAAATAAAGGGCGGACGCAATGGACATGGGACCATTTTTAGGAGAACTTGTACCTCATCCACCATTGAGTTACGAATTTTTTGTGAAAATACTTTGAAAGAACGGGATTTCGGCCTTTTGGAAAAGTACAAGACAGATGACCAATTTAGAAAATTGTGCGGGATTTTAGGTAGGCTTGGGTTCCTTCCATTACAGCTTATTCCACAAGAACTAACCACCAGAGAAAAGTCTACCGGTGACATCGGCTACCTGCTGGACTACTTTGATTGCACGTATTTCAACGGCCGCTTTCTTTAGGCTTCTGTTCCATCTGCGGCGGCACCCAGAGCGAATTCGTCCCTTCGCCTGACTCTGCGCCGACGGCGACCGGCGTTTCCCCCGATACGGCGGAATATGTACGACACCACTCTTCAAGATAAAGACCGGATGAACACCTGCGAAAGATAGAGTACCAGGTTCCAGAACCTCGTCGGCCACGCCCATCCAAGCGTCTGGAGGCTGATTGAATACCTACAGCAAAATCAGGCGCTCGTTGCCACGGCATTGACAAAAGCCCGGAGAGGTGAGCCTACAGTAAAGCGGGTGCGAAAAATTACTCTTCACCTGCAGAATCGTCTTAGAAATATTTGCGAGGGCTTGCATGTACATCGAGATCTACCAAGACTGCTGGAGCTAGTGGGGGACTGCATTCGCTTCTAACCTATCGATAAATAAACTTGTTTCTATTAAAATCAACAAACCATGTGCCTGTCAGATTTAATTTATTGTTGCCTTTTTGTGTCGCGCGCATGCACCTAAGTTGTCCGCACTCCTGTTAAAAACAACATGAAATTTTCTCGTGGTGAGCTTTTGTCCGGTCTGTGAAAATATGGGTGAGCTTTTGTCCGGGTCTGTGAAAGAATGGGTAAGCTTTTGTCCGGTGAGCTTCTGTCCGGTGAGCTTTTGTCCGGGATTCATGTTTCTCACATTATTCAAGCTGTGGCACCAGCAGGACCGAAGTATGGTCGCGCGCAACGCCCCTGACCCATGAGCTCCTTTGTCGCCGCGTAATTTCGAGAATAAAAGCTTACGTTTTGTTAGCAAAGCGATCCCAATGATTTCGTCATCAAGCTTTGAGATACCCGCGGTGAGGATAGATATAAACGAGGCTCATACAGTGGACGCAATGACTGCGTGAGAATCGATCATTTTATTTGGTTTCGTGCGTGACAAGCAACGGGTCGACGGGCGTTTGGGGAGTGGCTCGTGCCCGATCGCCGCGAAGACGCGAGAATAGTCAAACCTGAGCAATAGGGGGGACTCGGCACGTGCCCTGTGCTTTGGCAAACCCAGGGCGTTTCTACCATAAGCCTTGACAGCATGGAATCGGCTTGAGATTGCGCGATTGCTTGTTTTGGTGGCGAGTTTAGAAAAACACTGCCCATTTTTCTAGAATATTTTTTTTTTGCTGCGACTGCCATGGCAAGGAGAAAAACATTAGCATGTGTTTCATAGGTCGTTTCAATTCATCGAAATGTTTTCAACTTTTCCGCTTTACGCTTTTACGTAAAGAAACGCACATCTCTTCAAGTGAGGAACAGCCCATCCCGATCAAGTCACCTCTTTAATGACGCGCGTAGAAACATTTAAATATTCCTTTTTCCACGCCGCATATAGGATTGGAACACACTTCCCTGTGATATAGTGAAAATGGACTCACTATGGCCAATTTAAAAAAAAAAAGAGCTTGCACAGCGTGATGATAGTGCAGGCTAGACATTATAAGGTATTTAGTTTTACTTGTATACATGTTTGACTGAGCGTATCGAACATTTTGTGAGCTACTGTGAGTTGTAAGCAGTATGGCTGGGCTTGCTGGATCGTGGGCGTTAAAGAAAAAAAAAAGCATGATCGTGGATTGTGAGCGGTGAAACTGTTTTGTAAACTCTCGTGCTAGTGACCAACACATTGGCCCAAGATGTACATTTTGCTCTCTATCGTACTGAGTGCCAAAAATCCACCCTGTATCGGCGCTTCTGGGCTAATAGTTTCAATGAAGAAGGGAACAAGGTTATGAATGTCAAGAAATAATTGTTAGTGGTATTTACTGAAAGTACACAAATTTCCGCATCGCCCCTTGCATAGACGCTTTTCAAATGCCCATCAAGCAATATTAGCGATCGCGATTGCTTATGTTAGAGTATGTGTGTATGAGAGTATGTGAGCAATCAATGGCGGACAGGCGTTGGTGCGAAGTATCGAAGAGGATCTACCCTACGGATAGAGTCGGGATATTCAAAATGTGCATCGGTGTTGTGACCTGCGTCGGATGTTTGCCAAATCCTGTTGAATCTAGCGGGAAGCGAGCCCGTTGAATTAGCGGATATGTTGTTTTTGTTTATACATCATCCATCCTGTTAATTCATTGGGTTTGAAGTAGCCGTTCCCAGAATATAGGAACAAATTCTTCGTGCCATCCAATAAACATTGAATTGAGTATTAAGTTAATTATTCTGTCGCGCAACCACCCCCCCCCCCCCCCAATTTATTAATACTGCTAGTTCTGCGGGGTAATTCGAAATACATAAATAAATAAATAAGACGGTGAATCAACAAAGAAGAAATGTATCTCTTTTTGCCATACCTTAATGGCGTTCAAAATGCCTAGCTTTTCTAAGGCCGATTCCTGCTCCTCCTTTTTTAGACACAGTAAAGAGGCGCCTGAAGTGCATGTTTCGAGGGTTTCGTGAATATACGTATAAGGAAGCCAGGGTCAGATGGAAGTCACGTGACGTTCTGAGGTATCGCAATGTGGCAATGTCGCGGCATGCTGTCTTCCAACCTCACGTGACATCACCACGTGACTCGACGGGGTCACATGACGTCACGGAGTCACCTCCCATCCCACGGCTACGTGACACTGTCGCGACATCGAGGCTGCATCCGCGGACACAAAGATCCAAAGAGCAGACCCTATAAATGCTACGCGTAAATAAATTCCACGCAACATACTTATGCGCGTTATTTTCTGTCGGGAAATCAGAGCACGGACTATTTATCGACTTGACAGGCTGCGGAATGACGTCCTGGTGTGCCTAGATTCCGGAGTGTTTCTGACCCCTGAAGCGGAGATACGCGGTTTACGGACCGCGTTCGCAACAGCAGCTGTCTGTCGTGTGCGAGCGACTCCACCTCTCCACCTGTTTTCCTCCTCGCCTGGCGACCACGCGACGCAAGCGCCCTCGCGACCAATCAGCCCAGGAGGCATCCGCCCTCGAATTGCAAACGCTCGCCATGGTCTGAGATGAACTCTCTCTCAAATCGAGGCCATGTACGACCTCCAAGTGAGATGCTGAGTGAAAGAGACCCATTCGTATCTTTGTTGTTTTCGCTTCTATTGCCGTCTTCCCGGCGGCGTTATCACGAGCATACTAAGTGGTTTGGAGATAAAATAGAGTCCCCGACGTTTCCCTCACTTTCAGAATCTCGCTTACGAGACTGTCCAGAAGGTCGGTGAATATCGGCTGGTTAAAGACACGCTCACGTTGGAGTAAATAACGAACCTCAGCAACCTTAAAAGGTAAGCGATTCAACTTTTTTTTCGTTTCCTACATTGGCCGCTTTGGGATTCCCAACGGTAGAATTTACATTCTTAGACGGGGTTGTAAGGAAACATTGACCAAGGGAAAAGAATGATGGACGTTTACATCTTGACGACCGGACGGCACAGGATTATATACTTCGTTTCAGCTTCGGTCCAGACGCAGCCGATGCTACAAGCGCGAGCATGTGGCCCAGAACAGTGCTTGCACTGCACGAGCGCGCGTGCTTGGCAGGGATGCTGAAAGCCCGGAGCTCGCGCTTGTAGCTTTGGCTGCGTCTGGACCGAAGCTGAAACGAAGTATAGTTATGAACCGAACCTATAGATTTGACGGAGCCGACCAAGATGCGCCAAAAGTACAGTGCCGAACGAAACAAAACGGACCAGCCGAGCGCGGGCATATGAAGTTACTCTAGCGATGCCTGAAGAAATGGAAAGACGCAGCCATATGGTCCCTCTACAACCGAGTAACTCTATAGATCCTCTTGATGACAAACGCCACCAGGCAGTGCTCCAGTTTTGACGTCCCAGAGAACTTCCGGTTTAGAAAAAGAATAAGAAAATTTCACCCTAACACCGCTGCTTGAATTGTTGATGAAACGTTTAAGAATAAATTCTCCAGGTGAACGCCAAAAGAAAGAAGAAGCGCGAGATCTGGTAAAATCTTTCGAAAATTTTCGTAAACCAACTTGCCTCCTCCGAGACATTAAATTGTATAGCCGAAGGCCTTCGTTAAAATATCCAACTTTGCTGTCCGTGTAGCATTTATTCTTTCTAGCAATACTCACATAAGCAGTCTCGAGAGGCGTGCAAAGACAGGGCGATCGGATGTCGCTTGGGACGTAAGCGGCTTTTCATGTTTGAAAACAGCGAACGTGTCTATAGACCGCCGTTACTTCGGCTCTATACAGGTTCGTAGAGTCGGCTGTGGTTAGACTCAAAGTGAAACGGAGCATACATCTCTACAGTTATCTAGAATTCGAGCTGTGCAAACCGGTCTGTTCGCTAGCGTATGTGGTAATGTACCAATATTTATTTATTTGTTTATTTATTTAAGATACAAAGATGTACACTTTTTTTCGTTTTTAACCGCGCTACTCAATGCTGAACGCTCATTCTCGCTCAAAGGTAGCGCTAGAGGTTCGAACCCAACAGAGCCGTTTATGTAGAGAGTTTGGTCAATAATTGGTCAAAATAGGGCAAAGTAAGCACACGTCGTTGGCCGAAATTGTTCCAATGACCTTGGGCGCGATGGTTGACAGCTATTGTGACCAACCACTAGCCACAAATACTTGAGTTAATATGAGTTTAACAAATACCCTCCAATCCCATATTCTGGTTAAGGCTGCAGTCAAGCAATTAAATTCGGCACGTTAGACTTTAAATTTGCGAGTAGTTAGAGCTGAAAGGGCAACGCACGTGACGTTGTCGTCCCAAGGCGACATTCAAAACTCACACATTCTTTTGATTGCACCCGCGGCCACTGCCGCTGCCGCGGCCGAGACAGAGCGTAAGATAATAACTGTTTTGACCCAAACCCGGCACGCGCAACCCACATTCACAGTTTCGCGTCTTACATCAGGAAAGTTTTCTAATTAATGTCAACATTCCTGGCTCAGTAAAAGCACCATCACCTAGAAACTCACCATTGCCTCCAATCATTTATAATTATACCTTCATGTACTTTGAGCCTCATCCAGCAACAAAACAAAAATACCTGCACCGTGCTACTCGAATCCTTGAAGGTCATCCTAGCACATTCTTATTTCGTAATTTCATCGCGGGGGTGAATATACGGCGCTATCGGTACCGCCGCTTTCGCTGGTTCACCCCGGCTCTTGCCGGCTTCTCGCATTGACCATGCAGGCTCTATATGCGGCTCTAGAACCAGATGCCAAAGATTCACCATAAGCCCATGTCTTATTGAAAAAAATTGTGATTTTCTCAAAAATTTTATTGGAGAAATGGTGGCCAACTGAGCTCTCGGATCCACAGAGCTCTATAATGAGGGAAACCGAAAACGCTAAAAAATGAGCCCAATTTCTCACTAAAGTTTTCAGAAAATCACTTACAACTTTTGAATAAGATATTGGTTCAGGTTTAAACTTTGGCAGGTGGTTCGAACCTCTAGCGCTACCTTTGGGCAGATAATGAACGTTCGGCGATGCAGTTTACTGTTGTGGTAGAAAAGAAAAAAGAAAACCTGCACATTTTTGGGGGGGGAATCCTGTACATACTTTTAAAAGAGGCACGTACACGTCAAAATCATTTTTTTATTATCCGAAACGATTGAAAACGATGCCTGGACATTACCCTAAAAATTCGAAACTTGTGAATTCAGTATTTGTAAAGTAAAATAAACGATTTCCCAATGCCGAATTCAAAGCTCCCGCGCGATTCTCGCCTGTACAGTGACGTCAAATACTGAGCCGTCGTGCGAGTCGTGTTTCTCCTATAAGTCCCCCCGATCCTCTGAACCGCAGCCACAGGAATTGTCGTTGGTGTCGTGTTCGCCGGCATCCCGCGAACAACCGGTTTCCTCCGTGTTTGCCGTGCAGCCTATCGCTGCGAGCAGACGACACTTGACTTTCGAGTTTGAAGTTCTATTAGGGCCTTTTCAGCGGTCTCAAATTCTCTGAAACGGTGTGAGGTCGCAGAGAACACGCAGCGGACTTTTGTGACCGACATGAGGGCCCACATTGCGCCGGTTCTGCGTGAAAGGCGGCCCCGGTGAAATCACAACCGAAACTACGTTACACAAACGCCAAACTCAGACGTTTCGATCGTTTGACGATTTCCGTTTCGAAGTCTGAGAGGTCGTCGGGCACCCATAAAAGACGACTTCGTACGATTCCCCGACTCACCGATCATCCTCAGTGCTACATGCGTCGAGCGTCGCTATGTTTTCCGAGGGAGGATAAAAAAAACATGAGGCGACATCACACGGGACGTCGGTTTTCGGTATTTCAAAAAGAAGCGCCGTAGTGCGTTCGCAAATGAGTTAGAAAAACATGTTTTACGAACGCCGTACTAAATGTTTTAAAAATGCTGCTTACAAAGCTTCTAAATTTCATAATATTTGACATCACAAATCAAAAGAAGAGAGGAGGTGAGGAACCAGAGAGAAGGGCGCCGAAAATAAAAAGGCGCTCTCGGGCGTCGAAAATATTTTTATTCGCGTTGTGGCATTTTTTTGCGTGTCTATGACTATTTGCACCGTTTTAGACAAAAAAAAAAGAAAAAAAAAAAGAAAAAGAACAACCTTTGGGTTGTCAGTGCCCCTTTAAACGCTGAAGTATTGTAGATTAGAGTGGAACAGAAAGCATAAAAACAACAAAAGACAAAAAAGAAACCGATACATGCGTGGAAGTATAGACGCTTTACACACGTGCCAGATTCCAGCCGCCGTTGCTGGCCTTCTCTTGAATTACCAAGAAACCGTGCCAAAAAAAAGGCGTTAACGAGTTTTCACACAGCCCAATGCTGGAAAGAAGGTCACAGTAGAATTTAATAGGACAAAAACCTGGCCAGCTATGGCAATGATGAAGTAAAGTAAACGAAATGAACGGAAACGAAAACTGAAGGTCGGTTATGGTGTCGTCCATGCACGGCTGTTTAAAGACGTCTTTTTGAACACTGATTACGCGCAATAATTTGAAAGAAATATGACGCCTTCCAGGAACAAGGTAAAATAAAGTAAGAAAGTCAATCAGAAGCATCCCAGAAAAAAAAAAAAGCCTGAAGAAAGAGTGCCGAATAGCGTATAATCAGTTATAAATGAGATATTTGCGGAAATGCGGTTCCATTCGTTTGACGCATGCGGGATGCATAAATAGATAACGAGCTCGTTTGACAACGATTTATAGTTCAAATATATGCTGCTGATCGACACGAAAAGAGTAATAATTGGGAATGATAATAGAATGGTATGGTAATGATTGATTGTGGTAAGATTAAGAAAACAGACAAAAGCGAAAAAACAAACTTTCCACGTATTAAAAAACAGGGTAAGGATAAACTAGATTTCATCGCTCTCATGCTGGCTGTTCGTTTATACTTAGAAAAAACCAAACGAAAATAATTTAAACGAGTTGAGAATCCTGCAGAATGACGAGGTTAGTGCCCCATATTGGGGCTACATGTTCTGATTTTGAATTTACGAGGGTGTTATAAACAAACAAGTTTAGTTTAACCAAGGCCTCTTTGAAGTTACGTCGCAGGTATCCCAGCATACGGTTAGCGCGGCTGATTATGGCATCAATATAAAATTTCCAAGTAATTGTTTAATATAATATTACATCTAGATATCAACACGATTCCACAGATGAAAGCTGAATCTCGGTTAGCTTATATGCAGAAGGGCACGCGCCTTCTTGGGGAATCCACATGAATTTGCATTTGTTAGGGTTTAGTTCCATAAACCGATATGTGCACCATAGAGTAATCTTATTCAACTATGATTGCAGAATGCACCTCTTGTCGTCATTATAAACAGTATAACAAACAGTAAAGAAAGAACACATCCGCGTATAAATACATAGATGACGGAACACAACTGGTAAATAACTATTGCACATTAGAAAAAAAAAAGGCTCTAAAACTGACCCCTGCGGTACACCCGATGCCAGATCAGTTAGTGGAGAATCAATGCCAATAATATTGACACACTGAGAGCGACTTTTAGGAAACATTCAAGCAAGGTAAAGAATTTCGGACATTGGGTTAGTACAGCAAGTTTAGGCATTATTATTATATGGTTAACTTAGTCAAAACCCTTAGGAAATCAAGAAAAAAGCAAGTCAGCATGATCATTTTATAACGTATAGTATGCAAATAATGGGTGACGAGAAGCAGTTGTTTCTCCCTTGAACATGAATGACGGAAACCATGTTAGGTAGGGTCAAAAAAGGAATCGGAATCTAGAATTTAAAAAAAATTGAGAGCACAATATGTGTTCCATGATTTTGCAGAGAATGGCT